CCGGGGCCTCCGCCAGCGGGCCCTGCCCGCGGGCTCCACTCCAGCCGGGCCTGGGCCTTCCGTCTCTGCCGCAGCTCCGCCACAGCCCGGCCCACGGAGGCCGCGGGCCCAGAGCCCGGCCCGGCAGCTGGCGTCCCGCAGGCCAGACGGAGCCCCGGCGCCGGCCCGGGCACAGCGGGCAGCACCGCGGACCCACACCACCACCAGGCTCCTCTGACCACGGGTCCTGCCGCAGCGGCCCTGCCCCGGGTCCCCACCGTTAGGGAGCAGCTGGTCTTCGCTGAGTGATGGCAACAGCATGGCCAGCGGGGCCCAAGCCAGCACAACAGCAGGGTCCCACGGCAGAGCAGAGGGCAGATATGCCCGGATGTTACACCAGGTCACCAGGATGAAACCCCGAGCAAATGAGATGGAACCTATCCTGGCCATAGCCACGTTTTCACTGCTGCTGAGGCTCCGTGTGAATCACAGCCACCTTCGCTAGAGGCCTCTGGCCAGATTCACAGAGACTTGACTCTTACTCAGCTTACACTGAGCTTGCTCTGGAAATCTCCAACAATGTTTGTAGGCCTGGCCACAGATCCTGAGCATGCTGACTCACTGGAAAAAAACAAGCTCTCTGTGATCGTAAGAGGAGCTGGGAGATGGCAATGGCCTTGGCAGAAGTGAATTCACATCTAAAGTCCTATTGCTCCTTACCTCCCAGTTTGCCTTCTACAAATTCTCACCATGCTGCATCGCAAAACTTGCCCTTAAGGAAGTGTATTCTACCCTCTGAGCAGTGCCAGGGCTGATCCTCGTGTTCTGCAGGCACACAGGAGGAGGACAAACTGCATCCCTATGAGAGGCCAAAGAAAAGGTGGGGGAGCTGTACTCAGGTACAGGCAGTGATCAAGTCCTTTGCTGGAGCATAAAATGACTAGCAGGGAGGAAATCAGATTTTAATCTGGAAACCCACCAAAAGCCTAAGAGCCCTTAAAGAGCAGAGAAAACAGAAGCTGCATAAGATATGAGCAACTGGGACTATCCTGGGGGCTGTATCAGTGTCATCCACAGCTCAGACTGCTACTGCCCGGTACAGAGATCACTGCAGTATCCCTTAGGAGTTCCTTAAGTTAAATGCCAGACCCCCTAATTTTTGCTTCTCTAGGCAGAACTGCCAAAAAAATCGTACTATTCTGCTCAAAAGCCAGGTTACCTGATGACAGCAGCCAGAGGGCACCCGTCCCAAGCCAAGAGCTCCCCTTCTGTCACCCGCTTGTCGCCAGACAGGAGCCTGGATGGCTCCACACAGTCCCAGCATCTCCAGGGCCTCATTTGCTAACATGGGACCTTAACAGCATGTGCAATTCCTGTGCGTGAGGGAACTTGCACTGGCCCCAAGCCATGCAAACTCCCTTGAGGATCTCCAACATTCAAGCACAAGATGTGAACACGCATTCAGGCCCCACATGAGGAATGCAGGGCCTGCCTTGGCAGTGGGGAACACAAGCTCTTACTCTCAGCTCCAAGCAGCCCGACTTCCCTTTGTCCCCTGCAGTGCAGAAGTCAAATCGAACAGACACCAAACCTTGGCCGCTGCTTATGACCCACAACCTGACCATCCTCTGAAGCAGCAACAGTGCACTCAGCAGTGACCTCCAGCCACCTGGACTCACCAGCACTGGGTGGCAGAAAAGCCATTGCAGAGAGGAGCTGAGCTGGAGGCTGGACTGCGAGATCACAGCTCGTGCTCTACCGAACTGCTCAGTTCTGCTGCTTAATCATTGTCCAAGAGCTCACAGTTCTTTGTTACTCTAGGCCAGTGCACAGAAATGCTGTCTGCTCCCATTTTATTTCTTAATTTGCTCTCTTCCATAGAGATTTTCATCTGGTTCCTTCCTGAGGTTTCAGGGCTCTTGCAAGGATATCTCCTTGTTGTCCCAGGCTCAGTGTGCTGCATGCCACGAGCCACACCACTCTCTACACAGCTTAATTATAAAGAACCACACAGTGTAGCAAGAGACCAGCTAACGCTTTCCACAGAGCCCTACTAGACTCAGCCTCCCATTTGATCCCCCACGGGACTGGAGCAGACATGAAGCACAGGAGGCTCGGGCAGGACCACAGCATCTACCCTGAATTCAGGGCTCAGCAAGCCAGGCACAAACCAGATGTGGCAGCATTAGCTCTGCCCCCACCCGCAGGCAGAAAGTGGGCAGGCAGGCAGACAGGCAGGCCGGCCATACACAGTGTCTTCTCATGCTCTTCAGCCCAGCGCTCGCAGCAAGAACATCGAAGACATGGCTCTAGTGCTTCTCCCAGTGCTCTTAAAAGTGCCCAAGCTGCCCCATCCCTGAGCTTCCCTGACAGCTACAAACCAGTTCCCTGAGGTAAGCTCCTGGATGCAGGTTCAAGGTGATGCACTTGGCTGCCACGGAGCAGAAAGACACAGACACTGCACTACAGTGCTCCTGAGGATTAGTGTTCCCTAGAGCAGAATTGGATCACGTTTCCCCTCTGTAATCAGAGGGGCATCCTGTCCTTCTAAGCCTGATGAACTAGCAAAACATCTCAGCAATTCTGGGGATCTGCCCACGTGATCCAAATCTAGTAAGTACACATAGTTCACCACCAATGCAGCAGCTTGAACAGATACGTGTGTGGATTCTGGAAGGAAAAACAGGCCAGTGGTTGGTGCCAACAGGCAGCTCCCAGTTCCACGGAGATGCTGTTACAGCTCACAAGCTCCAGTGATGGCTCACAGCACTGCAGGCTGATCACATTTTCTTTTCCAGCTGAGAAAGGCCTGGGGTATCCTCTGCTCACAGTCCTTGCTGGAGCACAGATTTAGCCAGAAACCCTGGGTTGCATCATGCAGCCCCTCTCCACTGGGGGAGCGGGAACACTGGAAAATTTCTGTCTTCAATTTTTGTTTTGAATGCTTGCCCTGATCAGCACAGTAATGTGAAAGACTGAGACCTGAGCAAGTTGTAAGAGGCAGAAAATGAGTGGAGACTGTGCAGCTAGCACAGTCCTGTAACTCTGGAAATGAAGCATATTCCCAGATTATTAGTACAACAGCTAAGATCAACAAAAACAAGTATTTCGTTAGTAATTGTGTAGCAGAGAGCTCCAAGCTCCACACCTCAGAGATGGCAGGGACAAAACAGAATTCCCTTGCAATTGCTCAGGTAGTCAAAACCAGTGCTTGGCAGGGAGAAGAGCAAGTCTGAAACGGCTGCCCCTCAGGACAGAGTTATCAGTTAACAAGTCCCTGCTGGCAATCACATCAGATCCACCTAGAAATGCAATGAAGATGCCATCCCCTACATCTTTCAAGCCAAGCTACTGAGTTCTTAAGAGAAATACCTAGTCCTATCTTGGTCTCTGCTTGTGCCTGGGGTCTCCCCTCCCACAAGTAGCACAAGGATGCTTTCAGTCCCTGTCCTGCCTCCTTCCTACTGAAAATGTCCATTTCTAAAGAAGGAAGCAACAGGACCCAGTGCCCTTCCACGACCTGGCAGGGCTTCTGTGTCCCTCACATCCAGCACTTGAGTCTGTAGGACAGAACCAGCCCCCAAGAGGCCACGAGGCACCTGAAGCTCCCAGGCTGGACGCAGAGTGACACACGAGGCAGCAATGGACTCTCAATCCCAGCAGGAGCAAGACACAGAGCTCTCCTGAGGGAGGGACAAATTCTCACTGCGCCACACGAACGCAAAAGAAAAGGAGAGAAGGGAAAAGCCTATGGGCCCCTGGCTCAGAGGGGGGTGCTGCACAGTACTGACACAGGGACCTCGGTCCTACGAGTGAGGTGCAGCGCTCCCCGTCCACCCACGCTGTGAAGAACGGGTGATAGCTGCAGCCAGCAGGGACAGGATCAGTTTGCTGCTCTGTGCCCCACGACTCGGGGCAGCGGGGAGACCATGAGAACGGCATCAGCCGCGCCCCGAACCCGCACTTCAGAGAGAAGCCCCTCACCAAGAGTCTCGTTCAGCTCGCTGACCCCCACAGCGCGGTGCTGTACTCTCACCTGTTCAGGAGGTTGTTCCTGCTGACCATCCTCAGGAAGCCAGTGGGATCAGTCATCGAGTTCAGCTTGTTGTTCATCTCCTCAAACTGCTGGTCCATGATGTCCCCAGCTTCACTCTCAGTCTCGCTACTGGCACAGGCTCTGCAGGGGGAACAGCGGGGTCAAGGAGTCACTGATGCGAGACAGAGCAACAGCTTTGTGACAGATGCTCAGCCAGTTTGAGAGAACATGTTTTTCAGACACAACCAAATGCTAAAGTCAGATTTTCCATGGATGGCGTCACCTCCTCCCGGCAGGTGTACAGGAGAGTCACAACCCATCCCCTCTTCCCCTGGGTATTCCTCAAGGTTCAAAGGGTGGCACACGCTGATGGAAATACAGGGCCCAAGTTGCCATGCACTGCACGTACGGACTCTGGAAGCTGTAGCACAAGACAGAAAAGCTGAGGTCTGCAGGAAACACCAACTCGGCCCTCGATTTGCCTAAGAACAGCTGTTAGTGCACCCTTTCCACATTTCCACAACAGTAAATCCAAGCTCTGTGTGCTTCCTTCAGTGGCAAAGCACAGCATAAAAAAAGGGAGCTGTGCTGCTGTTCCTGTTGTACAAACAGGGAAAGCACAGAGAAAAATTACTCCTCTATCAGTGCCACTAGGACAGCAGCAATACAGAGAGAAATAGAAGCGAAAATTCCTAAACTTTCTACCTTCTGACATTAATGTCTAAATTATCATCTCTGTATAGATTTTATGTCAAATTGTTAGTATTTTTTGTTCTTTCTAAAAGCAGAAGGCAAACACAACTATTGTATATGCATTTTTAACATTTCCTCCTTTTAATCTAGTAAGTAACTTGCATACTATATGGCACATCACAAACCTTGGAATTTGTGCGCTTAACCTAAATCTGCTATGCCACCTGCTGAAGCCACCTTGCATCTCATTTCTGTTTCCTTTTGGGTGCCCAACAACTTGGAGCCTTTCCTCAAGGGCACATTTTCCACTAAAGAGCATGTGAATTAAATGAACACAATACATTAAATGAACACACAGACTTGTGCAGGCACAAGCTGTCCCTGTGTTGCTGTATGGACCACACGATATCTGTCTCGTAAGTGTACTTCCAGGTCAATATAATTTAATAACCTGGAAGAGTAAATCCTGACAAAAGCCAATCACTTAATGAATGCTGAAATGGGACTAGCTGAACAACAGCCAAGGGAAAAAAAAAAGGGGGGGTAAAGGGAAAAGAAAAGGCTGTCAACAGCTGCCTCCTGTGTTTTTCCTGCAGCTGCAGGCATGCTCAGTTCTGAGTCCTGGCACAGTTTAGAGCAATACTCACAATGAGTATCTGGAGCTCCTTGCAGAGGCAAAAATCTTGAGTTCACGAACCCCAGAGAGCAGGCCACATGCTCTCCCTAAAGAGCAAGGAGCCCGTCCCAACACAAGCAGATTTTAAAGTCCCTCACACTTTATTTTTTCACAAGTATGCGTGATTGTCGGCTTCATTAGACCAGCTGGAAGGAAGCACTTCCAGCAGAAAGCAAAGGCTGCAGCGTGCACTGAACACTAGCATGGCAAAATCCTGACCCACATCCCGTGACAGAATCCCTCCTCTCCAGAGCAGCGAGGGGGAAGCCGTGTCTCTCCGGAGACACAAGGGCACCTCCAGCCGCGCTCAGGGCGGCACGGAGGGCAGCAGCACCGCAGCGGAACACCACAGCACACAGCTACAGTGCACTCAGGCGAGCTCTGAGCGGGGAAGTCAAACAAAAGTCTTCACATGTGTGCTGTACACATCTGAAACCCTCTGTTGTGTGCTGGCAGGCAGAGAACGGGTCCCGGGACTGCAGATGACGGCTTCTGCTGGGGGCTGGCGAGCTGCAGCATGGTGGCAGTCAGCAGGGCTGGGGGGAAGCGCCCGATCCATGGAGGGAAAACATTTCAAAGCAGAACATGACGTTCACCCACACAGAACAGACAAGATTTGTTTGTTTAATTCCCTGCATGTAATTTTGAAGTGGGGAAAGAGCTCCTGCCTGTGATCATACCACACCAGCCCTATGATCTCAGACACAAGCATTGAACCCAGAATCCTTAACCAAAAACATACACTACCATCACCACGAAGAGAGGAGGAAGCTGACATCACAGTAAATTAAAAACTCATCCCAGAACCTACAGACTGAAGGAGTCCCTTTTCCAGGAGGAGATACTGAAAACTGTATCTGCAAATCTGTTACACAAGGCACAACTGCAGACTTCGGTTGTGTATATGCAGATCTGCGGGGCAAGATTCAACCATCAGCACATGGAGATAGATGTAACCTGAATCACACAACCCTGATGCTTTAAGAGAAGGGTAGATGGAACAAATTCAGTCTGTTTTTTTTCCCCTCTTGTCCCTCCTGTCAGCATTCACACCTTGGAAGAAGCGACTCTGTCCTCCCAGAAAGAACAGAGGGCTCACAGTCCACATCCACATACAAGACAGAACTGGATGAAGCGTCAACATCCGGAACACATTTGCAAAACCCAGGAAACATGAAGGCTGGAGGGAATAACTTCTGACATTTCCTTTAATGGGAATCGTGCAACTCATTTTCAAGCAAGACTTGAAACACGTAATTCGGAAGGTGTGACTGAAGCTAACAGATGCAGAAGTCTCAGAACAGATTTTATGTAAGAGCCCAAAAACCCTAGACACCACCACCAAAGAGAGGCCATTTCTGAAACGTACCACTTATACATTAGCAGTAACTTCATGATTATGATCGTTTGGATAGCAGTGGTTACGTCCTTGCAGCTTCTCAGGGCTAAAACATGAAGCAAGCTACTCCTCTGTGTATGTCTGTTCCCTTACGTTTTGAGTACTCAGATGGCTGAGAGACCCTTTGCTCTTCCTCAGAGTGTTTAATAAAAACCCTAGACTAACCAGCACTTTGTTACTGCTCACACAGAAATGAATAATCCAATCAGTGTAAAAAATATTTGTTTCCTTTCAGAAAGTCAAATTTAAAATCGCAAAAGGTTGTGCAACTTTTCAGAAAGTACAAACCCAAAGTGCACCCACACGAGACCCGACTGTAAATCCAACAGGCCCGGACGTGGGGATCGCTGGGGACAAGGCGGATGTTGCTACTTCTGGCTTCCAACTGTCTCAACACTACGAGTTAGCACAGGCCCACCTCTCAAGCCTCTCTTCAGGTTAACCCTAGTAACGTTATTTTGGTTCAAACTTTCTGCTCTTCAAGCCCTGGCACAGCCCAGCCCGGCCACACCAGCCGCGCTCCCCAGGTGCAGAGCCCAGTGCTCCCCCTACACCCCCTCAGACTCTTCCCCAAGGAGCCACAGAAGTGTTTGCACACACGTGTGCCTGCACACACATGTGCCACCCCGTGCCGTGGCACCACCGGTCCCACCCCCACACCCAAAGCAGAGGCCCCACAGCCTTCTCAGCCCTGCCCGGGAAGCGGGTTATGACAGAAGGGCAACGCTTCCAGCCCGAGGGCAGCGGGCAGCCCCGCGCTCCTGGGGACAGAGGTACCCTGCGGGCAGCACCGCCTCATCGTGCCACCGGCCCCGCTCAGGGCTCCGGCAGCGGCGCAAGGCAGAGAGCTGCCGCCTCTCGGAGAGGCTGTGCCGCAGCACAAGGCTTGGCCAGGCCGCAGCGGTCGCAGCGCCGATCCCCAACTCACAACCCAGAGCTCGTACTCAGCAGCTTGGCAGTGGCTCCTCGAAACAATTCCTTAAGCTGGCTCGAGCCCAGACTCAGGCTCCGGGAGACGGCGGCTGGGCTGTGGCCGTATTCCCTGGACTAGCAAAGCCAGAGCACCGAGGAGAAAAGATAAACCCGACACTGTACAACACCGATTTATCAAACAGAGACACCTTTTTCCAAACCTTCACAAATCCAGTATTTTTTCTGGTACAGGGGAATAAAAAGTAAAAAAATCTTAGACAGAGCTTTCTCTTCAGTTCCCTAAAGAAAGGTAAAACCAGGAGAATGTGTCACCATGACCTGAGTCCATCCTGCCTTGCAAACCCTTCAGGATGCATTCAGCGTCCCAGCACTGACAGGCAATCATTAATTTACTTTGAAATCCGTGAAGATGGCAAAAGCAATCTATCAGGCCTGAGTCCAGACCCTCTGATGGCTTCCAACTGCCTTCTAGCACCCGATGCTCCCGTGAAGGAAGCGGCACAGAGGGACTCGCTGTCTGTGCTGAGCACTCGTGTCCACGGCGCTCTCAGAGCTCCAAACCCAGCAAGGTCTGCAAACAGGTTCATCACCGGTACTGGGGACGTGACCCAACCAAGTGTCGTGTTCCCCCTGTGCCAAGGGGAGAATTCATCTGTCTGCGAGAGACTGGAGCAAACCCTGGGGAAAGCACCTAGGAAATGTGGTACCAGCCCGTAGAGCTGAAACACCTACTGGGAAACCTCAGGCCTGGGGTTATGTTCTTATCTCGCTCTGGTGGTGTTTTGCCAATTATTAAGCCTAGCTTAAAGGACATAGCAAGCATAAAGATGAACCAATAACCAAATTGTATTTGATACAAAAGGGTCAGTCCATGGGCGAGCGCTGGGGGTACAAACAAGTCAGACTGTACGTAACTGACATCAATCCCACTGACCCCAACAACGACACCGCACGACCAGCAGTGGGTGGAATAAATGGTGAAACAGTCTCCCATAGAAGGGACGGGAGACAACCAGGTCAACAAGCCAAACACATCAGACCAAGGAGCCCCATACCGAATCTCTACAGAGCCCGCGTTGACAAAAGCCAGACCTGAGTGGAGCCCAGTCCCAGGGAGGCGGGAGGTCCTTCCCCAACAGGGAACTCTGCAGAATGCGTCCACCTCGCAGACAGACCTGCCTCTCCTGCAATGGTCCCAGCTGTTATCCCTGCAGGGGACACCTGACCTTTCTTTACTCACTGCGGGACACCTGGGGCACATTTACCTAATGGGCTCTGTCTGCCAGGCCAGGGGGAAGTTTAAAGGGAAACTCACCCCCCTTTGGGAAGGGCTGGGGTAATCACCCACATGTCAACCTTAATTTGGGGCTTGGGGTTGAAACCCCAGCACTTCAGGTGGACAATTCCTGACCTGTCCAGTCAGGTGTGAGCACCAGGGGCAGGGAGCTGGGGCCGATGTGGTGAGCGGACCACAAAGCAGAGCCTCGGCTCTGCTCTAACTCACACCGCTGCCGTGCCAGATGCACAACTCCATGTGCTGCCTACAGTCGCTGTTACAAAGGCTGAAGAAGGATTAATTAGGGGAGCTCAGCAGCTTCCCAGCTGCCCACAGAACCCTGAGCACAAAGCGATTCGAGGACCAATGCCATCATTTCCTCTTTCTTGGCCAACACCATCACCCGGAAGGCCGGGCTGCAGCCGGCGGGTCCCGCCCGGGGAGCGATCTGCGGGGCGGCTGCCATGGGCACAGCCCGGGCAGCTCCGTTACTGCCTGCACTGTCAAACTGGGTGAGCAAAACAACACATCCACAGCGACAGGGACTCGAAGGTGCTTCCTTCAGCAATCCCTGCACTGCAGAAAAATGTAAAACGGTTTAAAAAAAAGACTGAAACATGGTATAACCTAAAAGAGCCAGTGTGCCCACTCCCACCAGTTTTGGGGGCTGGTTAACAAAGCAGTCAGCACGTTTAAGTCCCCTTTGCACCAGCAGCAAACTAGACCTGCAAGGGCCAGTGTGCCGGTGAGCCGCCGAAGGAAAGCAAGGAGTGACGGCGCAGCAAGGCTCACCTGTGCAGGAGCTGAACTGTCGCCACGGCCCCTGCCCGGTACGTTCACTCTCAGGGAACACACGACATCCCCAGCTCGGCTTTTCAGACGGAAGCATTCAGAGAAAAACTACCCATAAATATCAGCTTAGAATCTATACTGGTACTCATCCAACCAATAAATCAAACCAAATACCACAAGAGATCATGAGACTGAGTATAAATAAGCAAAAAAACCTGAGTTGTGGTAAATCCATGGGATAAAAACAACAGAGGAAACATAGTTGTGGGACCTGAGTAATGGATTGGAGAAAGGTTCCTCCCTCTTTGCTGAAATTCATCAGACAGATTAATTCACTCTAAATTATTTACTTAGCTATAGCCACAAGGGAATGAATTTGGAGGGGGGTGGAATTCCTACAGTATTTGCAGTTTTTCATAAGTAAACCTTTGAAAGGGAATTAATTATGCTGGAAACTGTAAGTAGGACGGAATCTGCCCATACACAGTCAGATGTGGCACCTGCCTCCTCATCCAACCTACAGATCCACCTCCCAGCCTGTGGGTTCAAACCTTATTCGCATGCACAGGTAGAGCTGCCTGGTACATGGTTACAAAAATATAGAGATTTTTTTATTGCTGTAATGAAAATTTGCTACAATTTGACTGTCAGTTCTCAGACTTCTTGGCCAACTAGCTCATCCCAGACTGTTACAAATCGCTTTCAGGTGGGAGAGCAGGAACCAGGATGTTCGAGCCCCTCCCCAACTTACCGGGTGTAGTAGGAATCCACGCCCAGAGCCTCCCTCACGCTGGAGATGTGCTGCTCCAGTGCAGAGTTCGTTATTGTTTGCAGGGTCACGCTGTTGGCTTCATGGAAGTCCCCGGAGTTTTCTGTCAGGCTGTCACCCAGATAATACTCATGAAACTTCAGAATTCCTGCAAGGCACCAGAATGACGAGGTTACCTCTGTGGGGCAGGAAAAGTGCTGCCAGCAACTGCCTAGGAAGGTGGCAGAGCCCCCAGCATTCGGCACTGCCAGTACAACTGGGGAGAGGCACTCCGTGCTGAGCCTCCACAGGCTTCCCCGCCCGTCGGTATTACAGCCCTGCTTTTTAAATCTGGGTTTGTGCTTCACAGATGTCGGCTCAAAGGTACAAAGTCAGAGCAGCACTTTTATGAACCGCTCAGAGGCATTTGCTATTGCAGCACTCTCAGATAAATTATAAACCATATCTTTCATACAAGCATCTACCAGAGTAATTCGCATTTCAATAGAGGCACATGAAAAATACCTATTAATAGCTCCTGATCACATAATTGAACACACAAAGCTCCAATGCTGAACAAGACTGTTATTACTACAGCAGAACCTCCTTGCATCACACAGATTTTTCATTTCACTCATATGCATGAAAATGCATTATATACAAAGAAAGAAAAAGATGGATTAATACATAGTAAAATATTAAAAGATAGCACTTCACAATGGGTGAACCAGATAAAGGACACTCACTGTTTTGTTAAGAATTCAACTATTACTGCAGATAAAACCTTCCTCCACTCAGACTGGGATATCCTTCCTGATATAATTAATTCCACAGCCTGTGATCAACAGCAAAAGACTGCTCTGGATGCCCTGTTTGCCTCAAGAGCACGAATTATTAACCCAGTTAAGAGTGGAGGGATAAAGAATAAAGCAACTCCTTCTGCAGCAACAGCAGCAAATACAGACTCAGTGAAGAGGCTCTGCGCGTACCATCTCGGTGGGATGATGAGGATCCTGGGCTGCTACTGAAGCTGCTCTCTCTGTCAGCGCTAATGGAACAAGAGGAGGTCACCGTGGCTGGGCTGGAGTCCCTGCTGAAGGGTGCCCAGCAGAGCTGCTCAGGCTGAAGCCTTGAAGCACCACAGTTCCTCTCCATCCTCACACCCGACAGAGCCTTCGAGGAGGCACGTGAAGAGTGCGATTGCTCTTCGGTGAGACCCAGTCTGGGCAAGGAGGAGACGGCTCATGAAGACTAGTGGCAAACCCTGCACTTCTGATCCACGTAATTTTAATAAGCTCAGCTTGATATTAATACTGTAGAATTACTGGCATTTTACTGTGCAAACCACAGGCCTGAAGAGCCAGTTAGTGACTGGATGCACAGCAGAACACCACCACCTTACGCCCCCCAAAAGCCTATCTCCCCATTACTGTCACCTCATCTGAAGTCAGGCATGTAGGAATGTTTGCTCCCCTTCAGGAGCATTTTTGGTGCAATCTCAGTAGTGCTTTTTTATCTCTTTAGCTTTGTCATGGTGGAGGGCTGCAATTATTAAATTATATCGAGAAAGAACTCATGAAAATTTACATTCATTGCTTTATTAGATAATGAACAACAGCTGCCTGCAAAAAGCAATCCTTTTCAAATTAATCCTCCTTGCTCCTCTGCGATAAGTGTTTCCACATTCATATGAGGAGAATTCAGAGGATCAGGCAGTTCAATGGTGTATCAGGAAGCGGGGACGCCCTTCTGTTTTCTGCCATCCACTTCAGTGAATAAATGTCAAAAGCTTTTGGAAGGATAAAGCACAGAAAATATAATTAAAGTAGGGATTCTTATGCATAGAAGATTCTCACAGAGCCAACACACTCAGAATCTCATTACTGCTCTGCTCTGCCCTGTGGGAAATATGTACAGATAGGAGGTTGAAAATGGAAATATTAAGCATGTGAAACATTTCCATCTCCAGGTGAAGAACAAAGCCCTGAATAAGCACTTCTCCATCATTATTGCTGTGGCTGTGCCACGGGTTTCAGTCCGTTCAGCTTTAAGGTACTAGATGGAAAGTATTCCCTCATACGTCCACTGGTCCCACACTCATCCCTATCTACAAATGGTACCGTTCTCCCTTTGTAAGGCCTGTTCAGAGGCTCATCCCCGAAAAGGACCTCACCTGCCCCAGGAGCCAGCAGCCAGCTGTACAGATAACCCGCAGCCAGGGAATAGTAGAGAACAAGTCCCCTCTGGCCATTCACTGTCTCCAGGACCTGGTCAATGGTCACTGGAGAATACGGGTCAGAGTCCTGCTGCCCGGTCTGACGTTCCACGAGCAGGTCAGCAAATGCCCTCGTCCGTCCTCTCTCTGCTACTGCCAATGCTTCATCATGGTGACCTGAAAAGACAGAGCTGTCTCTCAGACCCGACACCTAGGTGGTCTGCAGAACAGGGACAGCTGCCATCCCAACCCAAACTAAAACTGGGGCAAGTGGCGTCACAGCACTTATTTCTGGAAAGAGTAGCCTCTGTGCTGGAGTGCGGTCCCACACACCATCCTGGCTGTAGGAAATATATGGGAAAACAAGCCACAGAAAGGTAAATCAATGGAGGAAGCAAGAAAGAAGATCCAAAGGTGCCTGAAACCCAGAGCAGGACACCCCTATTTCTGTCCTGGCAGAGAAATGCTGTGCTGTGCTGGTCAGATGAGGCGTGATGAACTGCCTCCCCACAGCTTCAGCTGAACTGCCATGAGCTCGGAGTTCAGAGCATCCAACGGCACCTCTTACCGAGACTGACAAGGACTCGCTGCAGGGCCTGGTAGGAGGATGTCTGCAGGTCGAAGAGTGACAGCTTGTAATCCGTGCTCAGCTGCACCTCGTGTCGGATGGTTTCGAACAGCGCGGAGGCCCGGTACAGCTGGGAGGGAACACAGCCACGGTGACTTCCTCACCCACAGCACAGAGCACTGCGTGGGAGAGCAGGAGGATCGGGGCCTGCCCAGCCCCAGGGCAGGGGAGCTCTGCCTCAGACAGCCCCTGGGCAGGCGAGTGATAACACAACCTCCCCGACAGACATTTCCTCCCCTGAGGACAGGAATGACCCAAAGGGCTTGGAGGTCACAAGCCTGCCAGCACAGGGAGCCCAAGTGTACCTGGTGCTGAGACTCCTCCAGGTTCCCACTCGCCCAGAGGGAGAGGCCGAGGCCATGGCGGATTTTGGCTTCATCTTCTCTGCGTCCCAGCTGCTCTGCCAGCCTCAGTCCTGGGAAGGAGTCAGAGTCAGAGAGGGCCAAAGGGGAGAAGGGGCTTCAGCAGCCTGGCGGAGCGCTTCTGCCTCGCAGCTGGGCACCCTGGTGCTCTGGCGCTCCTGCAGCAGGGACAGCCCCTGAGCAGAGCGGGGGACACTGAGCAGGGGGACCCCGAGCAGGGCAGCGCCAGTGCCTGGAGCTGCAGTCAACACTTGAACTGGCACCAGTGTGAGAGGTGCCTCAGCAGGACATTTCCACAGACACCCCTAAGTGAGGTTAAGGGGCAGTCCCCAGGGACACACTCACTCAGCCCCTACCAAGAAGTTCAACTTTTAAAACTTAAAATCCACACAGACAAACAACATCACACTGAGCTGCCAAACACTGCCACCCTGCTGGCTCCTTTCCCACCAGCCCTCCCCAGCCTCTGGCAGGCTCTGCGTGGTTCATGTCCTGAGCCAGAGCAGAGGGCAGGCTCCTGCTGAGAACGACCTGGAGCTCATTCCACTTCCAGCGGCACCTTCTGTGTCGTTCCCCCTCTTGCCATGCTCCAAACCTCTCACCTCCGTGGGCCCTGCCGACAACAGGGCCGCCTCCTCTTGGGCCCCTCGGGTTTCCCACGGGCTGGGGAGCGGGGCCCTGGCCACGGCCACGCAGCTCAGCAGCAGCCAGCGCTTGCAGGCTTTTCAGGAATTCTGTGTCACACCAGGGGAAGGAGCTGTATTTAATTTCTCCCCTTCCAACTTAATTGAATTCCCTCAGCATCTGGAATCCTGCCAAGGTCAGTTTCAGGAAAACCAAACTAACTGATGTAATTAATCCTTCGGCTTCCAGCTTCATACACTGCAGCTCCGCTGCTCATCTCCTCATCAGAGAGCCACCACCCCGAACAGATGCTGCCTGCATGCTGGAACCCCCTGCAGCAGCACAGCTCACCAGCCAGCGCTGGCCCCAGTGCTCAGCAGCAGCAGCAGATGGCTCCCGGACACCGGGGGCTGAACCTCCCTCACCTCCTGTCAAATACAACTTGTTTCCACTCACAGCTCATGACGCTCACCCACCTGGTCTCACTCCCACTCGAATGCAACAGGAAAAGCAGGTGGCTCTCAGCAGCACACATCGGGCTGAGACCTGCTCTCAGCATCCCAGAGATCCACCACAACCTGATGTGGTTTTCCCAGAGCCAGTTCCTGCTGTGCAGCGCTAATTTATAGAGAAGGTTTACACCTTCCAGGCTCAGGCACAAGCGAGCTTTATGAAGACACTCTGCCAGGTGCAGTCTGGATTCAAGCTCAGCACTGGCCGAGACACCCGGGAAGGCACAGGCTGTGCTTTGCTTTGTCTACAGGACAGCAGGAAGCTCCGACTGACAGGGTGTGCTGACCACAACAGCCCGCTTGGACAGCTACTCACATGGATGCTCAGCAGCAGCTAGGGATGTCTGCAAGGCCTTTTGCATCAAAGACCAGTCAAACACATCCTCTCCGCACCACGCTCACAGTATCTCACTTCTCTCCAGGTCTTCAGGCCTCCCCCCTATCCCCCTGAACCTACCACCACATGCTGTGATGCCTAATTCAGCCTCTTACCTTCCTGCAGGTACATCACAGCCTGAGAGTAGTTCTGCAAGGCGTGGTGAGTCCTCCCCAGACTGCTGTAAGACACAGTTTTGGCTACAAGGTCGTTCATTTGCGCTGCAATACTGAGGTGCTGCTCCTGATAAACTACTGCCCTCTCGTAGGTGCCCAAGGACTCGTAGGTCAGGCCCAGGTTCCCGTAGGCCCGGCCTTGGCAAGTGGGATTGTTGGTCTCCTCCGCAATCTGCAGGTCCAGCTGGTGGTACTGCAGGGCTGTGTCGTACTCCCCCATCTGCTGGTAGACCCCGCCGAGGCCGCAGGCAGCGTCGCTCTCCAGGGCTCGGTCCTTCATTTCCCGAGCGATGTTCAGCTGCCGCTCCAGGCAAGAAATGGCCTGTTCGTAGTTGCCCAGCTGGCTGTGCAGGCTGCCCAGCTCCCCGTAGGCCTGGGCTTTGTTAAATGCCTCCCCCAGCTCATGTGCCACCACAAGCCTCTTCTCAAAGCACACCAGAGCTTGCTGCAAACTTCCCATAGCCCTGCAAGGGAGGAAACCAACAGCATTTATTTTGCCAGTATTTTCCTGAGAGAAGATATTTTGTCATTTCCTTTACATGCCAGCTCGAAGCTATCAGGAAGAGACAAATGCTCCCCCAGGAGACATTCCCAGCATTTCTGAATCAATCTCCTCCTTCTGCCACCCTATAAACTTCTCCTCTCAGGGGAAAGCAACCTCATCTTCATTCTTTGAGGCAGCAGCACAGTCCTCGGCACCCAGAGGACCACGTTACTCACTGCTGTGCCGCGTCCCCGTGAACAACAGCCACATAAACACAGCCCCCCAGCCACACACTGCATCCGTGGGCACTTGTACGTCGCTGCCTGTCAGCAGAATGCACACGCAGTGCTCCTTACCTGTGCCCGTTGCCCAAGCCCCGGTAGGCCTTTGCCTGATCTTGCATACGGTTCAAGCTCTGAGCCACAGACAGGTACTGTTCATAATACTTTATAGCTTCCTCAAAATCTCCCAGAGCCTCATAACAATCTCCCAGGTTTCCGTAGGCTCGGCCCCGATCTAACACGGATTCATTTCCGCTGAGCTGCTGCAGCATGGCCAGCTGCTGTTCGAAGTAGCCGATAGCCTCCTCCATGACATTCATGTTCATCTTGGTAATGCCCATGTTACCATAGACTTGGGCTTCTATGCTGGGGTCCTTCAACTTCTGCCCGAGCTCCAGCTGTTCTTCGTAACACTTGAAGGCCATGGTGTACTTCCCAAGCGACATATACACCGCAGCAAGGTGACCATGTGCTCTGCATTCACCCGGCATATCTCCCAGCTCCTGGTACACCTCCAGCTCCTGCGTGTGGTAACCTAAAGCCTTGTCACACTTCTGTATCATTCTGTATGCAGAGCCCAAGGCTGCATAGGCACTGGCTTCCAGTCTCCTGTCTTTAACATGATGAGCTAAACTCAACTGCTGCTCATAAAATTTTATTGCACCATTTACGTCTTTTTTACAGACAAAAATATCCCCCAAGTTCCCCAGAGCTCGGAATTTGGCCTGGGAATTGTTCAGAGACTGGGCCAGGGACAACAGGTACTTCTGACACTCCTCTGCTTTGCTGAAGTCCATCAAGGCTTTGAAGGCCAGGCCCAGGTTGCAATAGGCTTTGGCTTGGCTCAGCTTGTCATGAAGATCCTTTGCTAAGGCCAGATCCTGCTCGTAGTACTTAACAGCTTCCTCGTAGTTGCCAAGGCAGTAGTGGGCGTAGCCAAGGTTATGGCAAACCTTCCCCTCCCCTTCCATGTCCTGCAGCTCTGGGGACAGGCGCAGGTACTGCTCGTAGTAAGGGGCTGCCTGCACGTACTCTCCTCGTGAGCAGTGGAAGTTGCCCAAATTGCTGAGGGCGCGTGCTTCGCTCTGGATGTCTCGCAGCTCCCGGGCGATGTTGAGATGGTTTTGGTAGTGCTGCAGAGCGCGGTCATGGGCACCCAGCGCTTGATAGGCCACGGCTAAGTTCCCGTGCGTAGACGCCTGAGAGGCGCGGTCATTCACTTCCATGGAAATCTGCAGCTCCTGCCGATGGTACTTGACAGCCTGGTCGTACATGCCCAGGGCGTTGTAGGCGTTGCCCATGTTGCCATAGGCCCGGCCCTGGGCCGCGTAGTCGCTTAGCTCCTGAGCTATGGACAGATGCGTTTTATGCAGCCGCAGCGCGGTGTCGTAGTCGCCTTTCATCTGGTGAATGATTCCTGAAAAATAACAGAAACGGGCTCAACAGAAACACTCCCCTGCGCTCACCCTCCTGCAGCTCCGTGCCATGCCAGGGCCCTCCTGAGGTCGCCACAACCCCCGGCTCAGCAGGGACCCCCCTCCCCTGCCGCAGCACCCCGGGCTCGGCTGCCACGGCCCGGCCCTTCCCAGGCGAACTGCTGCCTGCTCCTAACGGGAAAAGCCTGGAGAAGGTTTTGTATTACACGAGGCACATATTCACCACAACAACTGGACAGTCTGGCCTTACAAAACGCCCTTTTTCTTTTCTGACTATGCTACCTTTTTTTTTCCCCCACTTTTTTTTTTTCATCATTTACCCAGTGACTCCACACTCGACACACTGAGCGAGGACGCATTTGCTTTTCAATTTCAGTCCAGTCATCTTGCACGTGTTATGAGACAGGGGAACAGGAGCTCTGGATCTGCTGAGGTTCCAACTTACACACTAATTAAACTCTGTGCTAATTATACATGTGGCTCCTTTGCAAACACTCATGAACAGGCCTGGAGATCTGTGGGAGGAGGAGGCAGCCCTGCAAACACAGATACTGCAGATTTGTCACAGTTACTTGACACCTGAAGACAACTTCAGGTCTTTTCCTGCCCCTAAAAGGAAACAGCTTCCAATTTCCACCTCCATATCACAACCAATGTGTTGAGGGGGAAGAGACGTGGAGGTCAGTAGGCAGCTGCCTCCCCCAGTCCCCGGCAGGCGCAGCACACTGCAATCAGGCTGCGCATCAGCTTCCTCTTGGTCTTTACTTTTAATGAGAAATTTGCAGAGACTTTCCAAGTGAGCCTGGAACATGAAGGCTGAAATCTGCTTTCCCAAGGCAACGTGGACCTCGCAGACTGATTTTTTAAACTCACGTAGGACTGAAAACCCAAGTTCCATTACATCAGCATGAAGTGTTCTGGCTGGATTTCCTGTATTTCTATCAAAGCAAATCAGTCACAAATTCTGTTCACTATCCTACTGATGTGATGCTTCGGGAGAAGGCAATTTAGAAAACATGGGCAGAACAGGATAAAACCAGCAAATGCTTGGCTACTGCTGACAGTTTGCTTCTCTCCCCCTGCACTGCAATCATGATCAAAGCTGGGGCTCTCGGCGGGAGGGACTGGCTCCCTGACATCGTAGCCCGGCTCCTGGCCAAGTCCCTCCTCAGCTCTAACAAGCCCATGGCTCTAATTTAGCTGTCACACCTCTGGCTGGTGCACGCTGCTATTTCCCTCTGGTATGACAAGGGAAGGTGGTGGCAGCAAGGGCAGGATGAACTAAGCTAAGTGACCCAAGTGCACAAATATTTTTGCCCTTCGTCCCGTACCTGGAGGCACGGCCAGTGCTGGGGCTTGGGGACAGCCGCGCGGCCACACAGCCGAGAGCTCACGGGAAAGACCATCGACCCCCGCAGATGAAACACAAAGTAATGACAAGGGGTGAATTGGATTGGACACAAAGCTACGTAACTTAGGAACTGCAAAACGCAGTCACTGTGAAAGTGTCCCGTCGCTTCAGAAACTACAAAAGATGGAATTAGCTGAACCTCTGCCCTGGAAGCAGTGCAAGGTGTCTGAGCTGGAGGCAGGCAGCACCAGCGCTGCCGCCAGGAGCCAGGCTCCTAGCCCTGCCTCCCAACACCGTCCCTCCCAGCCAGCACCGCCGGAGCCCTGGCTCCAGCCCTGCCTAGCGAGGCACAATGCAGCGGGCCCCACACACAGCTCACTGAACCCCCCCCAAAACCCCAGGGTTTCCAGAAGGAGGGGATGAGCAAGCTTTTAATAATCTCTTTCTGTAAGCAGACAGACTCCTCAAGGGGAGAAGGCATGCCGTGGCCTTCCACCAGCACCACTCTCCACCTCCTCTGAGGAACTGGGTGTGGGAAAGCACGCAGCTTGAAGTGACTGTAAAAAGGGAGAGGGAGGGCAGAAAGCAGGTTAAAAGCTAATTTGAGCTCAGCTGACTGCCTAGAGAACTTGTTCTTTGATGAAATTCCTTTTAATTAGGAGTTAGAAAGCAGAAAAGAGGACAGGCCTTATGAAACATTTTTCACAGTGACTGGCACACAGGAAACAAGTGTTAATCGAGATGTCCCGAAGAACCGCAGTTAGGAAGCACTGCTGACAGAGAAGGGTGGGATTGTTATGGAGGAATGACTGGACAACCTTATGTATCAGAGCAACAAGAAGGGGGTGATGAAAATCAGCCGTAAACTACGCAAAGACATGCACGTCAAGGCTGTGAGGGCAGGGAGTCATCTGGAAACAAAGAGAGGAGCCACCCAGTGAATTGATGCACATCCCGCAAACAGAGACAAACGCGATTCCTGATGGACACAGAAGAGTTCACCAGTTTACAGACCAATGCTGGTGTAACCACAGAGGGGCATCAACCCTGGAAATTACTTTCACCATCAGAGTACCAAGGCTCCAGAACAGCCCCACAGTAGGACAGTGAAGCAAACAAGACGTGACTGTTAAAATGGCGCGTGGTTGGTTTATGAATCGTGGTATTTGTCTTACACGGCACATGCAGTAACGTGCAGGAGGCATCTTCCACTCTCTCAGTTTATCGTTGATTCCCCTGGTAACGCTGAGCATCTATGGCTTTTCTGGGAGAGTATCTGAGGGCAGCAACAACCACTCCTGGGCCACGGAGTCACACCGGGACGAGGGACAGCCCTTGCTGCTGGAGCACACGCCGCCTCAGGAACACGTTCTCCGACTCCGTGAGTCGCAGCCGGCGCTCTGAGGTGCTGCAACGGCACACAGCCCCTTCCCTCCGAGCCCACCCTCCCAAAACACACCACCAAGTCACGACGTCACCAGCAATATCCCTGGCAGGAGTGGCTGCTGCAGGATGTGGATGAACTCATCAGCAAGCCTCTCTACAAAAGCACATTCACAGATCATTTCCTTATGCTTCACTAATTCTGAGTGTGTCACGCTGAGAAATAAAACACAGCCTTACTTCTCAAGGAACAGAGGAGGAAAGATGCCACCAGGACACTGCCAGGAGCTACCAGCCACAACCTGCTGTGGTTTGCAGGTGCGAGCAGCCTGAAATAGAGAGTAACGGGATGGGCAGGAGGAGGACAGAGACCGGGAGGAACCCAGAACAGCGTGGAGACCTTTCCCCCTGCAAGGCCGGCAGCTCACCCAGCCCGACCCGCAGAGGCCCCAGGGACACGTGTACCCACCACGCAGGAGCACCAACCGAGCCTGGCTGCCCAGCGCCTGCAGACGAGAGCCACGGCCCGCTGCGTGCCCCTGCTGCCTTGTGCTGGTCGGGGGGTTCCAGCAGCCTTCCTGTACAAGCTGCCCTCCCTGCCCTTATATCCAAGCACCCTGCTTCATCTCCCTCTCATCAAATGGCAGCTGTGCTTTCCCAGCCTCAGTCCACCCTCAGCTATACACTTAAATAAATTCTTGTCGAAGCCAGAGACAACCTTGGCCCTGGACTGCAGGCACGTGGCTTGCTCTGAGCAGATGCTGACTCTACACCTTGGTACTAGTTTCATGTCTGCTTTATCTGCGAACCATGTCATGTGTGAGCTGTTTCACATTCCTTCCCATGTCCTGCACGATACAAGCTCCTTAGCTGCAATCTTTGGCAACAAAACAACTGCAAGAAACAGACCAGATGCTTCTTAGAAAAGAGAGGGGCTCATTTTGGGCTGCAAGGGATTCTGCTCATCTGGAAGAAACAATAATTATTTTATTTAATACCTTTCGCCCTACATCTAGATCAGTTTCCAAGCTGATACCTCAGAAACCAAGATGATGCCCAGACAGGCCTGGCCTGTGACTTGGTGCTTGTTGTCCACAGGGCACTGAGATGGAAAAATTCAGGGTGAGAAAAACATCTGCAAAGCTACCTGCCTGCAAGGGGTGCTGGAGCAGCATGGAATGCAAGTTCCTGCTTTTAGCACTTAGTACATTAAAAAAAAGTATTAAGAGATAATGTCAGGAGCTTGGTGTGAAATCCATGCTTTAGATTACAATTTCTCATGCCCAAAAAAGTCCTTCTAAATAGCTCCTGTGCTGGTGATCTGTTATCCATTACAGTCCTCAGGTCAGACTGCTGCTGTGTGCAGAGCACAAGATGCTCCATCAGGCTGAGGTTGCTCTGGCCACCCATGGTTCACCAGCCTTCAGATGTGAATCCTACTCCTGTCACAAAGTTCCTCTCCTTATTTTTCCACTTCAGCTGTCTTACTCTCCTTGGATCAACATCTTTGGTAGCACTGAAGATTCTTTGGCAAATACTCAGCTGACTTGACAGAGAAGGGAAAACCTTTGGTATCCAAGGTTGTTCAGGAGGCCGTAGTGAGCAGACAAGATGCTCAGCCTCCGAGTTAAGCACCCTGAAGAAACTCCACTTCACTGTGAGGAACAAGGAAAGTCAGTGCAGAGTGGTCACCACTAAAGTGCCGCTGACAGCGCAGACGCTGTGCCCACAGGAGTGGTGGATGAGGATGCCAGTAAGAAGCCCTGTGCTCCTCTTAATTACTTCTTTCCCTCAACATGGAGGAACTCACAACGAGTACTGGGGATGCTGACCCAACCCAGACTCTCTCTTGCTGCCACTTCATACTATGCTTGAGGATAAAAAGAGGCATATCTGGGGCTGGAGATAACAGGAATTCCTGCCTCAGGATACCAACCTCTCCTGTCCCGCATGAAGGAGAAGGGAAGTGGGAGAGGAAGATGGCAGGTCAGACACAGAGCACGGCTCTGAAAGGCCAACGGCAGCCAGAGAAGTAAAATTCATACTAAGCATAAGGGCAAACAGGTTACTGAAACAGCCAGTGCTGCCGCTCTCTGGAGAGGCTATGGACGGAGTTTCGCCCTGGATACTATGCCCGCCACAACGGCTGCTCTCTGCCACGAGCCCTGCTCAACCAAATTCCTAGAATTTTATCTAAAAAATTAAGGTTGCCTTTGGGAAAAAAGGAACCTGGTGACACTCCACACAGCACCTCCTGGTATGTTTCCACCATTTGCCGGGGTAATTCCAAAGGATGGGCAGGAAGGAAAGGTTCTGACTCAGACTCCAAAATCATCACCTACCAAATATATTCTCTCTTTGTGTATTCCTCAACAGACAAAAATGAGTTTCGCAGATGAATGGGAGATGAAGCCTTCACAGTTCTAAATGTTTTAGTCAGCCTCTTTACTGCCAAGAAAGGAGAAAAACAGTGAGCAAATGTTTACCAGGAGATATCCAGGACAAAACCAAGCAGTGTAACAGGAAACAAAGCTGTGCTCTCCTCACCACGGAGTCTGCTATCACATTAGTTTGCTTGAGCTGTCACCCATCTGTTGTGGCACTTAAGGAAGAATCCAGAAACACACTGTCACTTCAAAACATCAGCATTCTGACTCACTCCTACAGCTATAATCATTGACTTCGAGGTAAAAGACAGTCTTCTGGTCAGGCAGCTGGACTACACTGTAAAAGCACGTGAAGGATAGAGCAGAACAGACCTGAGGCAAGAACGCAGCAGACACGAGGGGAGACGGCCAGAGATGGCCTTTACGGCCTTATATAGTGCAAAGCACCAAAAATGGCACAAATTGCATCGATTCACAAGCTTTCTTTCCTTAATGATTAATACAGTTAGAACTGGGTAGAAACCTGTATAAGACACAGCAAAATAACCATGAAAGTTACACTCTGCCTGTATTAATCACCAATTTTTCCAATTCAGGCAATGGGTTAGTAGGGTGAGAGAGAAAGCATCAGAGTAACTTTAGAAGAGCCTGTGCAGCCCCTGGGCTGGAGCCCGGCAGGCGGTTACAGCAGAAGCCAGAGGCACCTCCAGGCTCCCACCAGTACGGGCCAGCACAGACACTTGCTGCGCCGCCACGGGCTCACAGCTGCCCCACGGCCCCAGCTTAGAGCGGGGAACCATCGCCCAGCCGAGCCTGTGCCTTCGGAATGAAACACGAACACGCTGGAGGCTGAAACCGAGCAAAAGCAGTTCCAAAGCTCACCCATGTTCCTTCAGCCTCGGGAGAGCTACTGCAGCAAGAGGAGGGATGGCCAAATGTGACCACTGTGTTTTGACCCGAATTGCAAAAATGCTTCAAAAGCAAATAGCTGGCATCTTCGGACAACATGCCAGGCCCGTGAAGACAGTCATGGAAATTCTCTTATAGGCGCAGAGAGACACAAAGCACCAAGGAGAGACCCCGAACTGTGTTCTATGAATAATCTGAAGTGTCCTCTCCCCATCGCAGTGGGAACCTAAAAGCTGCAGAGGCTGAGAAGCCAGCTCTCCACATGGAGCCTTGGCATTTGGAAACACCATCTGCTTTGCAAAGGTTGACAGTCTGAGACTTCTGGTTAAACTCCACATCTCCTTGTTGTGAAGGGCTGGATAACCCGTGACTCGCCCACAGCCCGTTACCTCCCGCTCACGGAGCCGCGGAGCGCGCCGTCCCTCCCCGCAGAGCCCTGCAGCAGCTGGGCCGTGTTACACCCCGTGTCCGTCGTGCTCAGCATTAGATCGCACACTTAAGAGAGCTTTCCATCTACAGCAGTGAAATGCAAACACAAAATTTCTGTTGCTTCAGCAAAGAGGCCAACTCTAACATTCTGGATTAGAAACACACATTTAGATACATTTTTTTTGCCTGTCAGCATGGTTATTTTGATGAGGTTTTGTTTTGCATGTGGATTAGATGAAAGAGACAATTAAGACTTGACTTTTTAATTGGTACTGGATGCATTTTAAACAACCGTAATAGACTTTCTCAACAAGAACTGTATGTTCTTTTTCTCCAGTATAACTTAACTCTGACAGAGAAGACATAAAAATATAGCCAAATAACAGCTGAAACGTGAGATCCTGCACTCAGAAGCTAGGAAAACTATTCTAATATGAAGTGTAGAGTGGCTGAGTCAGCATACCAACTGAAAGTTATATTTAGGCTTAAATCCAACACAAGAAAAACATTCTCTCCTGCACCAAAACTCTTCTCTTTTCTTAGTTCTTTTTTTCAACAAAAATTTCTGGAATTACATACTGAAAGCATCATTAAATCCAAAGCTGCTGTAAGATTAATAATGATAATAAGATGAATTTTCTAGTCCCAACTTGACTGATTCTGAGCCAGCAAAATGGTGAGAGAATTTAAACTGTGAGTACCGTGAAGGATGAGGAACAGAGCAAGTTGCTTCCTTGTGCTGCAGGGCTTGTTTCATTCTGGGACGAGGCAAAGCAGGTACAGAGAGTATCAGCACTTGCAGCAAACCGCTAAACCCATCCTGTAGCAACATTTCAGTACCAGTTTGTTGAGGGTTTTCTTATGATGCTGAGTAGCAGAGACAGACTGAACATACAGGCAATCAGAAGAAATACTAGAGAACTTGAGTTAAGCTCTTCTCTAGTGAAAGAGCGGTGGTCTGCCCAGCGTCAAAGGGCTCACAGAAACAGGAGACAATACGGAAAAGCCAAGATGTCTCATCACCACACTGATGTAGGGAAGGAAAACAAAACCAAGTGACAGCTTCCATTTCCCCAGACTGCTCTTCCTCCGGTTCCTGGATTTGCTCAGAAAGAACTGGGGCAATTCTTCAGAAAGCAGCAAATGCTTTGGAGGAGAGGCAAATGAAAGTGGTTCTGATCTCTGGAGGTTTGCCAGTGCTGCTCAGAGCACGTCCACCCCTATTCCATAGGTGCTCCCAGCGGAACGCAGCCGTGCCACCTCCCAGTAACCAGCCACCAGAACAGCCTGCACACCCTCTGCTCAGCTTCCACTGGAAACAAAACACAAGTTAAGCTTCACAGCAAGAGGAACTTTCCCTCAGACCTGACCACGAGCGGGGAAGCCAGTGCACCCCCCAGGCACAGCCAGGGACGTCTCCATCTGCCCCATCTGGGACCCAGAGCTGTCCCCCTGCCTGGACAGTGCAGGGTCCTCTTGCTCCACGTGGGCGCCTCTGTCCCCGTCACAGACCAGCGGATCCCTCGCATCTCTGCATCTCCCCAGGCCCAGCCCCATGCGGCAGCAGAGGTGGGGATGCAGTTTGTGCTTCACTAGATGTTCTCTGCAGAAGCCCTACATAATGTTAGAGGAAGCCAGATGCAAGGCTTCCCCCGCACCCCTCCGGCCTGCTGGGTGCTGGCTCAGGCTGACAGAAACGTTATCAGTGCTCCCTGCTCTCTAATGTTAAGCACACCATAAGTGCTTTTGCCTCACAAACCTATTTTGCCTCAGACATTTGACCCAATTTGTGTAAAGGAGGAGATTCGCAACACTAATTAGAAAGCTAGGACTGTTTTCCTTTCTCCTGATCACCTTATCTTCTTCATTCAGCTCCTGAAGACTCAGCTATTAAGAGAAATTAAGTAATTCATCAAGCCCTTTTCAATTACCTGCTGTTGATAACATCAGAGTGCGATTAGCATCTACAAATGAACCAAGTGCCAACTGCCAAGCAGAAACAGAAGCTAATTTACAGCGTGGGGCAGCCTGCAAGAGCTGAGATCCAGGGGCTGCCAGCAAACACATATTTTGTTATACCAGCAACATCCCTGTTCTGCCACTCCCAGCCAGCTGAGAACACATCCCCAGCGACAGCTGGAACATCAGCAGCACAAACGCTGCATCCCACAGCAGACAGAAATGCATCTTTGGTTGCTCCCCATCTGTCGCTGTGAAGAAGCAGCAGGAATGGGCTTCACTGATGGAATTCTCTCCTTCCCAGCCTGCCAGCAGGATGCCAGTGCTCCTCCTTACAACAGGAGACTCCTACACTACTATTTTAATGTATACATTCTAAAACCAAACTTGGTTAGGATTTGACCCATGTGTCTCCCAACTTACAAGGCAGCAATACACTGACATATCCAGCTGACAAGCTCCCAAAGAAACAGCCTAGTAATAAACCACATCACTTCTTGCCTTAGCGCAAGACTTAGGTTTATTTCTGACACCTGAATAGCTCTTCAAATACACTTTACCTTGTCATTTCCCTTCTGCCATGAGCTTGTGCTTTCTGGTGCCTTTCTGGGCAGGTTAATAACTGACCATGGGATACATTACACTGGCAGACAATCTGCCAAGTGCCTGTTTAATTTATGAAGCCAGTCTGGCGAAACTGGGGTAACTAAGAAGACACCACACAGCAAACCTCCTGCATCCTGCCTGCAGCACCTCTGACAGTCACGGCATTCCCTGACAAATTCTGCTCCATGTCCGGCCTTACCTAGATTGGAGGAGGCTCTGCCCTCAGCAGCGCGGTCCTGCAGGCTCTCAGCGATGTTCAGCTGCTCTTCGTGGTACTGCTTAGCCCTCTCCAGGTCCTGCATACATCTAGCTGCATGGCCCAAACCAGCATAGGCTCGCATCTCAATGGCCTTCTCAGCCAGCTCCTGGGCCAACTCCAACACATAGTTGTGGTAGGACATGGCTTTGTCGAAGTTCCTCCGGTAGTGGTAAGCGCTGCCTAGATTGCTGTAGGCTCGAGCTTCCTCCCGCTTGTTCCCCAGCTCCTTGGCGATCTTAAGATGTTGTTCATGGCACTGCACTGCATTCTCAAAATCCCCCATTGCAATGTACACGGCGCCCATGTTGCCCAGCTCCCGTGCCTCAGAGAGCTCGTCTTTGGACTGCTTGGCGAGGAGGACGCACTGCTTGTGGCTAGCCAGCGCGTTTGGGTAGTCCCCGATGGCTGTGTACACGTGGCCCAGACTGCTCAGTGCTGAGGACGCTGCCTGCAGGGATACAGACAAGAAGTAAATACAAGTATTCATGGAAACAAGTCCCCCCCGCCCTAGAAATCAAAGCCACAAAAGGCCATTCTGGAGGAAGAACATGACTACCAGCTAGAAAACCTGCTCTCTGCAGCTCTTCTACACCCCGCGGCAGCACAGGCGGAGCAGGAATGGGCGGCTCGGGATACCAGGGCTGGGATGAGCTCTTCCTCTGAAGTGCACAGTGTGTGTGTGACCTGGCAGAGGGAAGGACGGCACTGCAAGGGTGCAGAGACCACCGAGGAAACGGAGAAAGTGATCACTGCAGAAAACTGCACCCCAGAAAACTTCACCTGAGCTGTTTCACCGAGCAGTGTTGCCCCTGCAGCTCATGGTGCTTCACCATCCACACCAAGTCCTGCTAATGCAGCAAACGACCCTGTGTATGGCAGCTCCTAAGAAACCAGACAAATAGCAATATTCCCCTGCAGAGAACACTGCACACGAATGCTTGCTCCGTCCCACCCTCCACCCAGTAAGCTCACGTTGAAGCAAGAGGCTCCTGAGACCCTGCAGGCTGATGCCAGAGCCCAGAACACGTAACCTGACGTAACCGTGCTGCAGACTGAGCCACCGTGAGGGCTCTGCAGTCTCCTCTTCCCAGGCTGAGCAGCCATTTAATACCTACTGCTAGAAAACTGATGTACTCGCAGCTCAGCTGGGAGGAGGGAGATGCCTCTGCCGCTTACCTTGCAATACCAGCGTGCGGCCACGACACCCTCACGTACCCGCGCGTGGCCAATTGCCCCGCACTCTGAAAAGCTCTTGCTGTGCAGCACTAGGGTCCTTCAGGCACAACACCGTTTCTTACTGAGCCCCAAACAACCCTGGGACTGCAACAAGGAACAGCTGGAGCCTCTGTCCCCTGGGGACATCTTATATAAATATATCTATTTGAAAACCTGAGTTCTTACCACTGAGAAACAGCTGTACTTAACAAGACAAATTATCTGGAGAATCAGATTCCTGTGCCCACTGCATTCAGCAGGACACAGGCCTTTCCTCCACCTGGCAGAGCCAGAGCACGCACAGCCAGCCAGAGGGCAGGGAGCCAAGAGCAGGGATGTGTTCCTTCTGCTTCATGCACATCTGCTGCCTCAGGAGGGCTGTTCACTCCAAAGTCCTGACCCTGAGTCCCCCGTGGTCCCGCATGTGCGTTTCCTTTGCTACCCAGCTGCTGCCGTGACCCAGTTCCAGAGCAGCCATCTCTCCAACCCTCCAGAAAGGAGCAGTCAGGGTGACTGCACAGAGATCGCTCTCAGCCCTCTCCAGTGCTCTAGCTCAGGGAAGATCCAGTCCACCCTTCCACCCGAGACAGTGACACAGCATCTCAGGACACGTCCCTGCGATTCGAAATGGCGTAACCCCATAACCCCATGCTACCAGCCAAGGGGCAGCCTCACCCTTTTCCTGCCCTTGGCTGTGTGCTCCCCATGCACCCTCAGGCAAGTGTTCTGGTTCATGCAGCAGATCCTCAGCTCCCCAGGCCCCTGTTCAAATTTCCTGCTTCCTAACAGGAAGATCTCTGCACTGAGCGGTGTGACGGGGGAAGAGCAGCTCGACCTCTCCACCAGGCTCCAAGCAGGTGCAGCCCCTCCAGGCCTTGCAGTGGCAGAAGGCAGGTATGTTCCCTCTGCTCTCGCCTTCTGAGCTCCGCCACTGGAGGCACCTGTGTGGCACACTATTTTATTTTGCTATGACTTGGGAGGCCTAATGCAGCTGGTACTGGTGCTTTTTGTTTAAGGAGCAAGCATACTTTGTGCTCTGGGTGCAATACTCCTAGGCACAACACCAAGAGCTCCCTCTCCCAGGAAATGGGGTTCCACTTGGTAAGTGCAAGGTGTCACAGGCTGTGCCAACCAGCTATCCCCAATCCGAACACCATGGAGCTGGCTGATAAAGACACCAGACTGACACCAGACTAACCCCAGGGAACACAAGACGAGCTGTAAAAAGTGAGCTTCTTGCTCTGCAGGCGAGACATGATTCAGACCACAACTCCCCAGCAAGGTTCAGACAGCAAGCGACCTCTGGGGTTAAACTTGCCTAAGACTCTGCAGATTCATGTCCACCTCTTTTAACTGTCCAAAGCAGCTGCCCCTTCCACAATACAGGTGCACAGAAGTGCACACTGACATCAATGCTGGAAGGAAAACCCATCAGTTAATCAGCTGGAGTAGCTAAGGGGCCGTGGCTCCCCATCGGTGCCCAGGATGAACCTCTCCCCTGCCCGGCAGCAGACCAGGAAGCGCAGTCACACACCTGCGCCCCGGAGCTCCCCGAGCCAGGGAGCCTCTGGACACCCGCCTCGCCTTGATAAACCCGTATATTCCTGCTTGGCTTAGCCCACAGACCCCTATGCCCCACAGATGCAGGATTTCAGTTCCTTTCTGCAAGGCAAATGATTAACCTCTTCTCTGGCCACACTATCTAGAGGTCAGATGTAAACGGAAAGCAGATCAGAAAATCTCTTCTGCAGGAGGAGAGCTGGCTCAGCACCTCTCAGCTGAACCACAGTCTGCTACTGAAATTGTGTCCCTGAAGAAAAGAGCCTTTTGTGACTTTCAAAAACAGTGGCAAGGGAAACCTTCCCAAAGATTATTTTAACTAATTATATCATGATTGGAAGAGTAATGTTAAGTCAGGAAGATCTATGGGCCAGAGCAAGAGGCAGAGAGGACAGGTGATAAATTATTTTTGTGATCAGCAGCATTAACAGAGTAGTATTTTCACACTGAGAAACTGTAAATATGCTGTGCTGATTCAAATTAACAGGGAAACCATCTTTTCTGATACAAGAACCTGAGGTGACAGGTTAGCTACTAAACACAATTTACAGATCACAAGATCAAGAATTTATAAGGAAGCTCTCCCTTGCCCAGCTCCATAAACAGCCAAGCTGCATTTGCTCTCGCTGAGGCATCCTTTCAGGCAGCTTAATTATAACAGAAGAACTGTCAGAATGCAAAACATCTGAATTTTTGTCACTTAGTGTTGCAGATGAACTTCGTTCAATGCAGGGGACAATGGAGGGGCAGCAGTGGCAGAGCAGCAGCCCCATGGGGGAGCCCTGCGGCATCCCCGCAGACCGTGGGATGGGAAAGCCTCGGGCTGTCCCACAGATGGGGAGAGCAGCCCTGGATTTCGCGCTGCCAATACAGGCTATAGTGAACCAGAAATAAGTCGCTTTTGCTGCTGTAATTACCACAGAGCAGAGAGGGGAGCAGCTAGCAGCAGCTCGTCAGTGACAGTGCAAGGCCGGGGACAAAGCTACTAAACCCGCTGCCACGTGGCCAGATGGTTTCATGGGCTTGGGAAGGGTCTCTCCAACAGCAAGTGCCACAGGTGGTGTGAAACCAGCTAAACCCCCAGAAAGAAATGATTTACAGCCTCTGTAGAAGGACAGGCACTCAGCTCAGAATATCGGGGACCAAAGCCCTGTTCACTCCAAGAATCAGCTCTGCAGGACGCGCTGCAGAGCCGCTGCCTTCGCTCTGCTCCCACCTCCCGCCAGAAACCCCCAGGGCAGCGCCCGGCCGGCCCGCGGCCCCCCAGCAGCGCCTGGGGCTGAGGGGCTGCAATCCCGGCGCTGGAGGCAGCCACGGGCGGGGGTCCCAGGGCCCCGGCTCCCTCTGGGTCACACTCACGGCGTCGGGGTGGTTCGGCCCCAACAGGCTCCCAAGCAGCACAGTGGAATAACTTCTTGGCTGACGCCAGTGAGGAAAGGTTCTTATCTAAAAGGGGGTCGGAGGGGGCCTGTTTTGAGGCTGCTACAACCCAACATGAACTTTTTTGCATTGAATTTTAATCAATTTTTACACAAATCTTCATGATATACGTAGTATTGAGTGATTTGCAATCTCACTCAGAAAAAAAGGAAAAAAATAGACACATGCAGATATCTTGCACAAGCCCAGACCAAAATACTGTGTGGGGCCCATTACGGGCTTCAAGAGGCATCGGAGCTCCCTCGGTCTTGCTGGTGAGCAACACTCACTGCTGCATGGAACAGACCATTGCCCAGTTTGGACAAAGACAGAACCCAGCACAACATGATCAGCAGAACTGGTTCAGGAGCCTCAATCAGTTCTGAAAGACAGGCCACCACCAGCACTTCTGATGTAACTGGGAAGAGATTGGAACTGGCTTTATGGAAAACAAGGAGTCAGTGAAAACTGATGTCTCTTGGGGCTGCTTAAAAAAAAAAGTGGACATTTATGAGTGTAGATTGCTGAATCAGATGAGCTATGGCAAAGAGCCATACAGACAAAGACTCAAATGATGTTAATGGACCATGGCTAGGAAAAAGAGGCAAAAATGGAAAGCAGCAGATCTCAGACTTTCTGTGCACAAGAGAAACTTGATAAATGCAGAGACTGCTGATATGGTACATGGGAAGAAATCTTTAGCAGGTCTCCTAGACTGGGAAGCAGATCGTAGGAAGTGAAATTTGTATGGCTGGAAATGTTTATTCTCAGGGCTCCTAATCCCCTTGCCCAACAGCATTTCCAGGCTCCCAGTAAAGACCTAGAATGGCAGGTATAAGCTTGGCAACCATTCTTAGGGCACGTAAAAAGACTTGAGTGCCCAAGGTTTGGATTGTCCAAACCAGGATGTGGGAGGGAGACAAGAGAAGCAGAAAACAAAAATAAGCAGAAGACAAGAAGAGAAATGGAAAATGAAGGGTAGGGTGCTGACATGAAATAGCCTTACTTGATGAGAAAGAGGCGGCTGTTTCCAGAGGCTCAGCTGCTGCTCACAGACAGACAAAGGCAGGAAGGCCGCCTTGGCCCTCTGATGTGGCCTTCACGTGTTTTATTCTGCAGCAGCTTCCACTGTTAACCGATCCGAGTGCTCCGAGAGGCACTTCTCAATCACAGGGGAGCGTGCATGAGCAGAGCTGATGGCACTTGTGGCTTCCCCGGGGCTGGCTGCGTGCAGCAGCTCCTCTCCAGCAAGCC